ACGTGTGTAAAAACTAGTCAAAATAAAAGTTTAAAGGCTTCGTAGAAAAGTTGTGCAAAGTTTAGGCGCCTATTTAGACTTTGTGCTCCGCAAATGGGCAAAGGACAATTTCATCGCCTCGAAAGCGATCGCCAGCAGGATTCAAATGCCAATGCCACTGCCTGAGCGAGAGTCACCAGCGCCAGATTGCTGCTGCTACGATGGGGTCGGATTCTAAAGAGGGCAAGCGTGTAGATGTTAGCCTGTTAGGGGAGAAATTGAAATTGAAATTCGCAATTCAACCCATTTCGAATTTCGCGGGGAAACCCGCTCCCACGTGTGCAGAATTTGGGTTTGGGGAGGCGGCGGTGGAATCGGGGAGAAACCCTAAAGAGGGCAAGAGTGTAGATGGCGGGGTCTTCGCCGTTGGATGAGTTGATGATGGTGGAGGAGAAAGCGAAAGGGGTTGTGAAGCGGGTTGATCGGGAGGGGCTTGGGGCTGTGATTCCACAAATTGAAGGGGTTGTTGGAGTTTTGAATGGGGGTGCAGATTGAGAAGGGGACGGATTTATGATGGCAGGGTGTTGCAGGCTGTGGATTATGAGGATATTTGCAAGGTATTGCAGTGAGAATCGAGATTTGTTAGGTCGGTACTTGTTCTTTCTCTCATTCCTTTGTGTAAATTTTACAGATTACTTGCGACTAGTCTGCTCTATTGTTGCCTTTCTAACGTGGGAAGTTGTGGGCTCCTCAGTGAAACACTAGAGAAATTCTATGTCGTCTGTAAGCAAAGAGGTCTCAGCGTTGTATCAGACGGTGCAATGTTCAAGGATACTTGATAAAGTGAGGTCAGCAGCTTATACTTGATATGCGTGTGATTATGAGGAGACTAGAGGGATACTCAGCATTTGGAGGTCAGCGGGGACCTGCTGTCTGCTTCAATACTCAGTCGGTGGAGGGATAGAACCGTCTACTTCTCTGGTGATCCTTTCACCTTCAGCTTTGTTCTTTATTAGCTTTTTAATGATTTAAGCTTACGTACTTTATTGATATAACCAATGATTGAAACCGCAAGTGTTTTAAGATGGAAATTGTTTTTAAGTATCTTTTGCCAAATTGAATGTCCTGTGAGCTGGAGTAGTTTGGTCTACGTCTATATTTATACGCGAGAATAGATGATATTAGGAATATGGAGGAATAAACTACACAAAATTCCCCTTAATGACTGTTAATAAATTGTTTTACACTGAAGAGAAGAGAATAGGCATGTATATTTCCTGCAGCCCACATTTTGATAAGTTTTAGTTATATGAATGAACTAGAGCGGCATGAGGGTTCTAAGAACTATCCAAAAATCTGACTGCATATATCACTTAATTGATGTTACATAACCTACCGATAACAAAATGAACAAAACTTGATTGATGTTACATAATCTTTCAATAACAAACACGCAAAAAGGATTTTATAATTAAAAAAAAAATCTTGTCCTGCTGATCAATATAATTTTTGTTATCTTAACATGAAACAAACTTTTATTTCAAGGCTTAATCATTCATGATTTGAAGCTAATTTTTTTCATCTTAACATGTACACTGCCCATGAGAATCATACCTTCCAACCATCAAACTTCAAATTAGCCACTTATAGCATTATTTGAATAGATTCTGGGACTCCCAAATGATAAAAAGAATCTTATTTATAGGTACGATAGGTGAACTTAATGGTGTTAATTGCTAGAAAAATAGTTGGTGGGTGATAAATGCTATTAAAAGCATGGATGAGGGGGGTTATAGGCAATTTACCTTAATATTTATGAGAAGGTAGCAGTCCTTTTTTTCCAAAAAAATAAAAAAAATATCATTTATTATCTGCAAAATCATGAAAGCTCATTATTGGACTGAAACTGCAAATATACACTACAATCGGACTTCCTCAAAAATTTCAGAAACGTTACACTATCCAAATTGTCTTATCGGCCTTTTCAGTTAGCATCGTCCGAACTTTTTTGCTAGAGTACAAACAGAAGGTAATTAATTTAACGCCCAAACAAAACTGAGGTCCAACTTTGTGCGTCAGAGTTATAATCACCAACGCACAATAACATTGTGAAGCTCACCAACAAAAACCCTGACCGAGGAAGAAAATTCCAATTATTCTCTCTTTCATCTTACTGTTAGCCAGAATTCTGACGGAGGGCTAATGTTCTGATTCCAGCATGCAATCCAAGGTGTTGATCACAAAGCTCCATTTTTTCTTCATTTTTTGCCTATTTTTTATCTGAGTAGGGAAGTTTTACTATGTATGGTAAGATTGCCATTTATTGGTTGCCATTCTATTTGCATGGTAACATTGTATGTTTATTTTGGGTAAAATGCTTGATTTTGTTGCTATTTTTATTGATCTAGTTCTGCATGCAAATGGCTATCCAATCAACTTAATTTTGAGAGCTTTGTCGCCCTGATTCGATATTTCCAATTAATCATGCTAGGGTTTATCAGCTGCATTAGGTTGATACCTTGGTAGAAGAATTCTCGAGGGAGTATACTTAGGCAATATTGAAGCTTGCTCTTAAGGAATCCATCGCCAATCCTAAGATTCCTCTTAAAAGAAAGAATGATTTTCTGTTAAAGTAATATATAGTTTGGTAAATTTTCAGTTATTTATAATACCAATTGTGAAGTTATTCATTTCATGAGGTTCGTGCGAAGCATTCTCAATGGTATCTTCGAGATGATCGCCAAACTCCTTCTTAGCTGACTCTACCCCTGAAAATCCACTTCTTGATTGGTAATGTCTAATCAGCCTCCATTGATAACCATTGAATAGTTAACGCTGTTTCTTGTATCAGAAAATCATTACGTCCCTCTCAAACTCCAATCAAAACTTCATTCATCAAGGTAGACTTTGAAAATCTTTGTTTTTCCTTAGTTGGTCATTTCCTTCTAAATTCCTCAATGTGCAAGATTTGGTACAAGAGGGAGTAAACAGATCAATATTCTCCCATCTTGCACCTCCTCCCCATCCTTATCAGTGTATACCACAAACAACACATATGTTGTTAATGAGATCTTCAACAAGGGGACCCACTCGTATATTTTCATTTTGATGTCCAATCTTCACAACACAATGATAGGGAATTCATAAAAGTAAATTAAAAAAAGGAAATTAAAGTGAAGGATCACGTTCAATACTTGGGTGTGAATGAAACAACTCTAAGACGCATAACTTTACGTTTGAATGATCTCGATCTGCAATTCTCAGAGGATTGTATTGATGCTAAAATCGTTGAAGATGAAGAAGAATTCGGCTCTGGAATCATGGGGTCAACGGGGCCAAAAGGGGAAAAAAAAGAAGAAATCAATGGAAGAAATCTTCAGATCTATTGGTTTTCTTGAAAATTCTGCAACTCAGGTATCTCCTCAACCTATTGGTTTTCAAACTCGTCAATTAGAAAATTCCTCCATCTCTCATAATGAGGCGAGTAGTTCAAGATCTGCCTGGGCTGATGATGAAGTTGTTGAAGTTAATCTTCTTGAATCAATAAGGAAATCAAGCTCTGAATCTCTGTTTTCTGCTAAGAGAGATGAGACTAAGATAGATGCTGATAAAGTTCGAACTCAAGATAAACCAAGGGATGAGGTGGCCTTTGCTGGATTTCCCCCTATTAATGCTTTAAATGATGACATTACTTTGAATCCAGTAAATGAACCAAAAAAGAGTTGGATCAGTTTTTTTACTGATAATAGGAAATCAGGAAGTGGTATGACATTGGATTACATTCCCTCTCAATCCAAAGATTCTGTGAAATTTGAACAGGAAGAATGGATAGAAGGGGAATCCATGTGGAAATTCTCTCTCATTGGACATGTCATTGGATTAAATGCAAAATTTAAAGCTATGGAATCTTTTGTTAAGAAAATCTGGGCTCAGATAGCAAATCCTGAAATCTTCTTGTTGAAACCAGGCCTTTTTCTCTTCAAATTCAATAACATGGAAGAGTTAAATGAAATTCTTGAAAGTGGCCCTTGGTTCTTTGGTTCAAGACCTCTCCTTCTTAAACGTTGGTCTGTGAATGAAGAAATTGAGAAGTGCTCTAGTAATGTTTATCCAATGTGGATACAGTTGCCAAGTCTTAGACTCAATTTATGGAATGCAAAATGTATAAGCAAAATTGCAAGTGTTGTTGGCAAGCCAATAGCTACTGACAAACTCACAGCAACAAAACAGAGATTAGCTTATGCACGAGTCCTAGTTGAAGTTAAAATGCCATTGCAACATCCTGATCACATATCAATTCAAGGTCCAAATGGTGAAATGATAAATCAAAAGGTCTTTTATGAACATAAGCCTAAATGGTGTGAATCATGTAACTTAATTGGACATGATACATCAGTCTGCAGAAGGCAACAAAGAATTCAGAGATGGGTCCCTAAGCAGGTTTCTGTGAATAATTGCAATGTTCAAGTGAGCAAAAATTCTGGTCAGCCAAATTCAGGATTTATCAAAGAAGATCCAACCTTGAGCTCAAAATCTGAATCTGAAAAGGATTTAATTCCTGAAAATACTCTAGAAACAATGGTTGCTAAGACTATGGATGAAAAGCAAACTCAGTCTGGAAATTCTGTGCATGTTGTGCATGTTTTGCCAACAGCTCAGAATACACAATTGCAAAGCCAGTCTGGAAAAGAATCACACTCCACTTTAGCAGGAGCAAATCATGCTTTGCCAACAGTTCAGAACACTATGGAAAAGTCAGCATCATTCTTGCATTTAGGGTCTGCTGGTTCCAATCCTATGCATGTTATATCTTCAGCTTATGGTTCCAACAGACAAGGACCTGAAAATTCCTGGATGAATGTTAAAAAAGGGAAAAACAGAATGAATGCTATTAATTCTTTTTCCCCTTTGGTTGACATAGTTAATGAGATGGATCCCTCTATTTTAAATAGAGGTGAAACAAAATAATGAACTGGTCTTTTTGGAATGTTAGGGGTCTGAATAAATCCCCTAAACAACACATGGTGAAACAGCATCTATTTCAAAATCATCTCTCTTTCATTGCTCTTTTGGAAACTAAATTGAAGGACACTAAAATCCCTAGTGTGACTAAAAGAATTGCTGTAGACTGGAAATGGCATTCTAATGTGACAAACTCAGAGAAAGCCAGAATTATGATTTTATGGAACTCTGATATTCTGGATGTTCAAATCACTCATGTTTCTTCACAACAGATAACATGTCGAGTGAAATCAGTGGATGGCAGAACAGATTGTATAGTGTCAGCTATCTATGGTTCTAATCATCAGGTAATTAGAAAAGAGTTATGGGCTGAACTCTGTCAAATATTTCAAACAACTGAAAATTTACCATGGCTATTGTGTGGGGATTTCAACACAATGATTAGTAATGAAGAAAAGTTGGGAGGTTCTGTGCTCACTGATTCAGATACAAATGATTTTACCTCTTTCATAGAAAACTGTAATCTTTCTCATCTGAAAGCTTTGGGTAGCTTCTTCACCTGGAATAATAAACAGGATCATGCTACAAGGGTTTGGTGCAGGTTAGACAGAGCTCTAGTTAATGATTCATGGATCCAAATTCACAACTCAAGTCATGTGGAGTTCTTGCTACCAAATTTTTCTGATCATTCCCCTGCAGTGGTCTCAATCTATGAAGATGATCTTCAAAGGAAAAAGCCTTTTAAGTTCTTCAAAATGTGGACAAATCATATCAATTTCTTACCCACAGTTTCTGCTACATGGAATAAAAAAATTGAAGGATATAGTATGTTTTCTGTTGTCACCAAACTCAAGCTTTTGAGGGATGACCTGAAAGATTTAAACAGAAAACACTTTGGAAACATAAGTGAACAAGTCCTTAGAGCTAAAATTGCTTTGGAGGATATTCAGGGGAAGCTTCAGGAAGACCCCCTCAACCCTGTGTTGATTAGTCAGGAAAAAGAAAGCCTTTCAAAATACAATAATCTTCTAAACTGTGAATTATCTTTCCTCCAACTGAAAGCTAGAACTCAATGGAGCATTAAAGGAGATAGATGCACAAACTATTTTCACTCTATTCTCAAAGCCAAAAGACATCAGAATAGGATTTTGGTCCTATACAACAGCTCAGGTATCAGACTCACAGAGGGAGATGACATTATTAATGAGCTAATCTCTTTTGGTCCTATACAACAGCTCAGGTATCAGACTCACAGAGGGAGATGACATTATTAATGAGCTAATCTCTTTTTATAAAAACCTGATGGGAAAAGCTAGTACTCACAGAGGGAGATGACATTATTAATGAGCTAATCTCTTTTTATAAAAACCTGATGGGAAAAGCTAGTACTGTATCCCCTCCTGACATCAAGATTATTCAAAATGGCCCCTGTCTGAATGAAGATTAGGCTAGGATTTTATCCTCACCTATATCCAGAGAAGAAATCAAGAATGCAATATTCTCCATGTCAGATAACAAGTCCCCAGGACCTGATGGCTATGGAGCATCTTTCTTTAAATCTGCATGGCCAGTGATTGAAGAAGAGATTACACTTGCAATTGAAGACTTCTTTAAAAATGGCAAATTACTGGGAGCAATAAATTCAACCTCCATCACACTCATACCTAAGGTACAATGCCCAAGCTCCCCATCTGACTTTAGGCCAATTTCCTGTTGTAATTGTCTATACAAAATTATTTCAAAAATCCTAGCTAACAGAATACAATCTGTTATGAGGGTGCTAATAAATGACTCTCAATGTGCTTTTGTAAAAGGGAGGCATATAGTAAATAACATTTTGTTAGCCCATGAGTTAGTAAAGAACTATGGCAGGAAAAGCATTTCACCAAGAGCTATGATTAACATTGATATCAAAAAGGCTTTTGACACCGTAAATTGGAAATTCATAGAGAATATGCTGGATGGTCTGGGTTTTCCAAAAGTGCTGACTAGCAGGGTTATGACTTGTATCAGTACTCCAAAATATTCTATCTCATTAAATGGATCTTTACATGGATACTTCAAAGGAGAAAGGGGGCTGAGACAAGGAGATCCTCTCTCCCCTTACCTGTTTATCTTAGCCATGGAATACCTCTCAAGAAGCTTAGACCTGTTGAAGCTAGACAGGGACTTCAAATACCATCGAAAATGTGGGAGGCTCAAAATATCACACCTAATCTTTGCTGATGACCATTTATTATTTAGCAAAGGTGATTTGATTTCAATACAGAAGCTATATCAGTGTGTCACAAAGTTCAGTGAAGTATCTGGCTTAGAAGCAAATCCTAGCAAATGTGCTATATTTTATGGGGCTGTTGATGATGAAGCCAAGGAATCTATTCAATCCTATCTGGGGTTCACTGAAGGGAAAATGCCTATCAAATATCTAGGGGTTCCCCTAGTGTGCAAGAGATTGACATTTCTGGACTGCTCCTCTCTATTCTCAAAAATTTCCAACCAGTTTCAGAATTATTTGAAGCACAAAAACTTGTCTTATGCAGGCAGGTTACAGATCATTAAAAGTGTCATTCTTGGCATACAAATATATTGGACTTCCAGTTATGTTCTTCCAATCAAGGTGCTCCAAAAGGTGGATTATATATGTAGGAATTTTCTTTGGGGGAAAAATCCTTTGGTATCTTGGGAAAGAACCTGCACAGATAAAAAGTATAGTGGACTGGGGATTTTTTCCTCAATCATATGGAACAAGGCTGCAACTTTAAAGACTCTATGGGACATACACACTAACAAAGAGCTTCTATGGGTTAAATGGGTCCATGGTACATATCTCAGGAACATGAATGTATGGCAAGTGGAAATCAAAAACAATGATTCCTGGTTATGGAAGCAGCTGCTGAAAATCAGAAACCAAGCTCTGGATTATTGTGGAGGAGTGGATAACCTAATTAGCCTAATTAATTCCTGTCGCAAGAGCTCAAAAACCATCCTGTCAGATTTATACCATGCTCTTATTCCTATTTCAAACAGAGTGCCAGTACCATGGAGTATCACAATTTGGGGAAAGCTAAACTACCCTAAGCACTATTTTATTTCTTGGTTAGCAGTTCAAGATAGATTACTAACTCAGGATAAGCTGCTGAAAAGAGGGATCATTCAAATCAACAAGATTACTAACTCAGGATAAGCTGCTGAAAAGAGGGATCATTCAAATCAACAAGTGTGTGCTATGCGCAGGGTCAGGATCTGAAACTCGTAATCACATAAAGAGGGATCATTCAAATCAACAAGTGTGTGCTATGCGCAGGGTCAGGATCTGAAACTCGTAATCACATGTTCTTTGAATGCAAATTTTCGACAGATATATGGAATGCAATTATGAGCTGGTTGCAATTCCATTGGAAAAGCTGTAACTAGAACCTTTTGATAGGATGGTATGAAGCTAACCAAAGGAGGAAAGAATTCAAGATCAATGTCAAAAGAATGGCTCTCACCTCCTCAATTTACAACATATGGCTGGAACGTAATGGAAGGATTTTTAAGCAGTCTTACAGGAGTGTGGAGCAAATTATCAAATGCATCAAAATGGACTTAATGACAGTTATCCTTAACAGTGAGATGCCACGGAATTACAAAAATTGGTTGATCTCTTTATAAGCATAGCAATACACAATCTGATGTCGGATGGTGCACTGACTGGTAGTGTCAGTTGTTCTAAAACAGCAGCAAGAAGCTCAGGAGATGCATAAACCTGTTGATGTGATTTTTGAGCATATCTGGTGTATAAAATCTCTTCTTTTTGAACTCTAGATACAAATCATTGTCATCTCACAAAATGTGATGAGATTCTTGATGTATATATTCTTTCATATTGGTTGATGAATAAAATTTTTCATTTACCAAAAAAAAAAAAGCTTTACGTTGAAGTTTTAAGCAGTCCTCGTTTAATTGGTCTTATCAACAAGAAATTGTGATTGAGTGGATAATCATCATTGTTCTTGCTAAAAGGCTCATCTCCTCATTAGCAGTCTACTTCATGTCTTTCTACCATCTTTCTTGGTCTTTATTTCATTATATCATAAAATCTGTCAGAATTTTTTTTGGGTTCATGAAGGAAATAACAAAATTCACTTTGGACTTTGTATTCTGAAGGACTGAGGAGGATTAGTGAGGTTAATCTCTGGCATCTCAGGATATCTTTGCTAGCCTCAATTTACTTTGGATTATTTTCTAATTCACAACTACTAGAAAATATCTTATATTCATGCCTTCCCAACAATGTTCATTTGTTCTTCTTCTTTGTGTGTGCTCGTGCTTATGGATACATTTCCCTTTAGGCATAACACAACAAAAACAGCTCTGACTTTCTTCAACATCATTAGATTCATGATAGGAGTTTGTGTTTAGCTCATATATTAATGTTTGTCGAAAGTGATTCCATTGTTTCACACTTTAACCTTCACTTTCAGTTGCCAGATGCCTCCTGTCATTGCAATGATATTTCTAAGGGGTGGCTTTGCAACTTTAGTTCTAAAACATGGCTGATCATGTTCTACATATTTTGGAACAAATATACGAAGAAAATACATGTGACAACTAATATCTGGATATCTGGAAGTTTTGGACTGGTTGAGAACCTACTGATAAATAATTTCAGCTTTTGTTTCTCATTTTATTTTAATCATCCATCAATTGTTTTGCATGGAAACTTTTTGGGAATTTTAGCATTTCCTATTATTATATCAGATATGAGAATCCCCATTACGTTAAGAGCTCTGCCACTTTAGCTTAGCTTAGATGTCCTTCTTATGTGCGTTTATTTATTTTTGCCTTTATAACTAGGCATTAATTTTTTTTCTCATTGCATTAAATTGTTCACTTATCATTTTATTCTATTTCTTGATGCTACAGTTTCAGATCAACTTAAAAATTGAAAAAAATTGTGACGATGGAGGTAAACATGTCAGACACAATTCAAGCCATCAAAACCAAGGTTTATGCAAGAGAGGGAATGCCCGCGAACAATCAAGAGCTATTTTTTGAAGGCAATCACCTAAGTGACGCATCGAAGACACTAGCTGACTACAACATCTCCCAAAATTCCATGATCAACCTTTTGTTTGGAGGCACTATGCAAATATTTGTAAAGATCCTTACAACTGGGAAAACTTTGAAGCTCGTAGTGAAGGACAAAGATACCATCCAAAATGTGAAGGCTAGGATTGAAGCTATGGAGGGAATTTCTCAGAATCGTCAAGGGCTCGTCTAACATGGGAAAATCTCTTGAAGATAACCATTCATTACTTGCTTGCAATATACAAAATGGTTCAACCCTTCAGATGATTCTATGTCCAGTGGATAAGTTTGATATCTTGATCTGCACAATGAATGGGTATCTTATAAAACTTGAAGCAAGATCTTGGTATACTATCCGAGATATCAAGCTGATAGTTGAGGGTATGAAGGATATTGATGCAACCAAACAAAGGCTTTTTTGTGATGTCACAGAGCTGGAGGACAGCCTCACGCTTTCCGAATGCAGAATATTCGATCGGACAATTCTTCACTTGCATGTTGAGATTTAGATGTTCATAGATATTTCGAACTGGAAGATTATCACACTAACGATTGATAATTATGATTTCATTGATCCGGACATTTTGTCTGGTCTTTAGTAGGTATTATCATATTTGGGAGTTTAAAGTTGTTAAAACATTGGACTTTTGTCTTTCTTTTTATGTGGTAAAAACTTTTGAGCATGAGGGAGTTTATGGAATCAACGCTAATGGTTTTGTGGGGTCTTTCGCTGATTTCAGTGGTTTATCTATGAAATTTTGATTGGGAATGTCGTCTTGCTTATGTTCACTGTGTTGAATTGTGTGTCTGTATCTGATGCCTTTCTCTGCCAAGTTTGCCCATGAAATACGAAGGATTGTATCTCGAGTTTTTTCTAGCTCAAAAGATTGCTTTCTGTTTCATGTTATGTTTTAAGCAGAGATGGATTGTCATTTCGCAACTGGTTTTACATTGAAGGTGGTATTTTGATTTCCAAAGAACTCTTCTCTTTTGTTCGTTTTCTTTTCGCTAATAACCTTTGGATCGTTTATTTACCGTGTTTCTATGCCCGGATTCGCGCAATGAAATACGAAGTAGTTTATTAACTATGTTAGATGGATAGTAAGTTTGTAACTGCTTTACATTAATGGTGGTATTTTTGATTGCACATATAGGATTGTTCTCAAGAATGATCTAGCGGAGCTCATAAAGTCTTTTCTTCTCTGTTTTTTCTCCTTGTTTGTTTATTTCGATATGCATTGTATTCATGCTCGTCAATATTTTCCGTGAAGGATGCTAATGAGAACCGTGAAACTAATGCTGTGAGACTTCAACATTTATACTAAAAGTATGCCTAGTTTTGACTTGTTGCACGATAATCTAAAAAAGCATAGTTCACTTTCCAATTCAATTATTTATCAATGCTCTATCAACTACTGCATTCGCGCTAGAGAAACAAGAAGGATGATCAGTCTTTTTGATATGTTACAGTGGCTCAAGTTACAAGGAATGTAAAGATCATTGTAGATTAAGATTCTGTGGTAGTATTACATAAAACCATTCACTCTATTGAATACAAGAACGAAGAAAATCTAAAGATTTAATTCAATGACTACCCTTTTAGGAGTACAGTTAGGTGGTAGTTCCTCGTGTTGAATCAAATGATTTTGATTAGCAAATACCTTCTTGCTTTCACAGCCTATTCGTTTCAGAGGCACAAGGCTCGGCATGTAACTTGTGTGAAGACGCCAGGTACTTGAAACTGCAGGTTCCTCGTACATCTTGCACCCTTCTTCAGAATTCTTTGCTTCATCGTACAGGATCATCACATCGTGTAACCAAACCTGCAAAGCATCGTCGCGTTGCCACAGGCCAACGAGTCTCGGAAACCTGGAAGGTGTCCCTGCCGGTGCGCGGGGGAGCTCAATGATATGCGTTCTTTCCCAGGAAACTATGTTGTGGTATTCCTTGAGAGTCCATATCTTGATGTCCGACTCTGAAGTAATGATGACAGAGATGCCCTCTTTGAGCTGTGTGAGCTGCAACTGACCGTCGTCGTTCGGAACATTGTCTATTACCTTACCCTCTTCAGTTCCGAGGTCGATAGATAACAGGTGCAAATCTGTTGATGAATTAGCATAGGAGATTGTCCAGTGTATCTTCCCGTCGATATAAATAGGACCATGGCGTGTATTGAAATAAATATCTCCGGCATCTCTCCATGACTCTTCGGCGCCCAGAGTGCGTATGGATAGCTTGCCCGGGGACCCTTCTTCTGGGCGAGAAAAGTTGTAGCCATGATCTTTAGCAATCACGACTACTTTGTACTCTTTCGTTGAGGGACTGAAGCCCAGCCCGACTGAGCAACTGAAAATATCCTGCATCGGGTAAGCAGGAAGCGTGCTGTACTCAGCACAGAGAGGATTACAGATCTCAATAGGTTGTCGGTAATTATTAGGCCTAAAGCAGAGAAGTCCGTTGCAGGTGTTAGCGAGCTTGTAGTCGTCCTCGTTCCACGTACCGTTATTCCACGTCGCGAATGACTGTCACTCAGCACCGAGGGGATTACAGATCTCAATAGGTTGCCGGTAATCATTAGGCCTGAAGCAGAGAAGTCCGTTGCAGGTGTTAGCGAGCTTGTAGTCGTCCTCGTTCCACGTACCGTTATTCCACTTAGCGAATGACTGTCTTTTGAGGATATACCACATCTTAGGCTTCCCTGCAACGTAGTCTTGGGCCAAGGAGATGGCAATGATGGAGATGTTTACGTTCCTTCGGATGGAGAAGAAGAGAGGCGTAGGATTGTCAGAGGGCAAGTGGTCGCAATGTAGGCTTCGGAGATGATGGTCCTTGTGTATAATATCTCGCCATGCCTTTGAAACACAGGGGGAACGAAGGAGAGACTTGGTCGGAATTCTGGAGAGGACTTCAAGAAGCAATTCTTCAGGGATTCGCTCCATTGATCAACTTTATGAGAGAGAAGGTGAGAAAATAATTGATTGATAATTAGTTCTTCTCCTGGGTCTATATATAGACGTATAAGGCTTCCTAAAGTTTGAAGAGTCCTAATGTAATTAACAAAAGGGTAAAATATTAAAGGCAACATCGATCAGAACTTTTATTTGGAAACAATTATTATCTTTAAAATACTTCTTATTACATCAAAACTCTAAAATTATTAATGATTTCGGGTTTGTTGCAAAAAAAAAAAACATATTCTGTAAGATTTCAATAGACTATATAAACGCCACGCTGGATCATCATCATCATAATCATCATCATCATCCCGATGATGTTTTGTTAGAAATCCTATCAAAATTACCCATCAAATCCGTGCGTGTCGAAATCATGGCGATCCCTAATCTCCGACCCCCAATCCCACAAGAAGCTGCCGCCGGCGATGGCCGGCCTCTTCTCAGCCCCAAATTTCTCTCCCTCGCTTCTCGATCCTTCGTCGATCCGTCCACGATCGACTACGGACTCTCTTTCTTGCCCGAACCCGGCCGAATTCTCTGCGTCTGCAACGGATTGCTCCTCCTCTCAAACCCTAATTCCCTCTTCGTCTGCAACCCCGCGACGAGAAAGCGGGCGAAAATCCCAAAGCCGCCCAGGGTTTCCAGAGAGCTGGCCCTTGCTTTCAATCCCAATTCCGATACCCGCTCCTTCAAGATCGTATCTTTCCCGTTGCCGGGGGATGATCCCGTGCGCCGCTGGACCTCCGGCGAGATCGACGTCTTCTCGTCGGATAACGGCAGCTGGAGCACTGTCGGTGGAATCGCCGGCCTCAGTGAGGTTTGCTCCGCAAACACCCGCATTGCTTGCTCAAAGAATGAATCTTTTTACGTTCTTGACGTCTATTACGGCCGTACTTTTGCGCTTGATTTGAAACTGAAGGAGCGTCGGCCGTTACATTGGCCTGATGGGTCGATTCGGAAGGCCGGTCTTTATGCGCCCTGTTTTGGGTTTTTTAGGGGGATGTTGCATATTGCATTCGTAATGCGTGAGGCTATGCATGTCTGTTCTTCATAGTCTGAAACAAATAAATTTATGTACAAAATGAAAAAGACCCAGTTCAGAAATCAAGAAAGAAAAGTAAGGTTTAATTCAGACATCAACAAGCATGCCAAAGAAAGAAATAATAAAGATGCGCCAAATTAATTTCTAAACATTACATTAGCATAGAGACGCACCTGAATCATGAAGTCCTGAGGCGGCTGTTTTGGGCCACAGAGCTTTGCTCGGATGCCAGAATATTCTGGCTCTAGACATCCGTCCTTTAGATTTGTAGAATCTAGCAGATCGATCAGAGTTGACAGTATAATCGAACCTGGAGCATGTGCAAACTATAAATTTCAGAATTCGCACACTATGACTGGAATTAGTAAGTGATGAGTAAACATAAATACCGGCAATGAAACTATAGAAAATATATGATGACAATGTCAAGAAGAAGTTACAAGAGAACATCAGAGTGGATAGTATGGGTTGTGCGTCGAAAGAAATTAAGGTAGGGGATAATGTACGTGTTATCGTTTTGTTTAGCTAGGGGATAATGTACGTGTTATCGTTTTGTTTCTGCTTAATCAGTCTAGTTCAGTATCTTCCAATATTCATGTTTCTAGTGCCAGTAACCTCCCTAATTAACTGCATATGAGCTCTATTTCTGCTCAATCAGTACCTCGTTATCAGATTTTCCTATTTTGACATTTCTAGCAACTGTTGTTTACTTAATTGACATTTGAGCCTAGCAAATTTTTAATCAATTATTTGTCCTTGTAGGCTGGAACATTCTTTTATTCACCAACAAACACTTCCGGCAGATTACGAGCATATCAATAACATATATGCATGGTAATTAAGGTAAAATTTTTATAACAATCATATGTATCCAATGTTTTAAATATCAGCCGATAAACCGATATTATCGGCGAATTATTGGTTTTGGGGGCCTTCCGCTATGATAAGTTCGATTCTAAATCAGTTATCGTTTTTGGATGTTTATCGCTGATAATGCGGCGATAAAGTGAGTTATTGGCCGATATTGTCGGCCCAAAAATAGGAATTATCGGCCTTTGTTTGAGTTTTGACTTCGGGTAACGGGCACCTATTGAATGGACTTTAAAACCCGACCCGACCTGAGTTTTACCTTTGGTTAGTGATTCTAAACATAATTTTTTACATTTACATTTTGGTATGTTTATATTTCATTACATATGGTTAGATTAAATTTTAATATACTATATTATGTATATCATCACCATCTGGTAATGTCACTCTGATAAATACTACTTATCCTCGATATCCGCTATTTGATATGAATTTTGACCGCCCGATAAATCCCCACAAACCAATATTTAAAACATTGTATGTATCTTCCTCAAAACAATCCTTATTCTGTCTTCTTTTGGAGCTAGCCGATACACTTTTTGAATAAAAACTTGTTGAAGACCCATTTGTTGTGCTAGACTTTCCTTGCACTCTTGCCTAGTTTCTAAAACTTGTTATATTTTGTAATGGTTTTTCTTTCTGAAAAGAGAAGATTTTTACAAGCCATTTTTCTTGCTTTGTTAACAGAATCCTTAACTCTTCCAACTTTTCTTGCTCAATCATGTTTCATTTTGCAGATGACCTTGTTTAATTATTTATGAAAATGGATATGTTATGCCATCAACCAGCGGCTATAACATCAATGACTTAAACTTAAACCCTTATTTCCATTTGCCTAATAAAACGTATATAGTAGATATAGGATGATGATGTGTAAATTTATTGTATTCCCAGGCTCTGCGGATTCTAAGCGAGACAAATACAAGATTTTGTGCAAGTATAACCTGATTACATGTGTATATAATTTATGTGGCAACTGCAGACAAATTATGTGGCTAATGTATATGTAGGGGGAAAAAGCATACATGATGAAGAAGTAGTCTTTGCCTTTTCCCGTTTTGGCACTTCCAAAAAGAAAAAAAGATCCACCTTGATCAAACTTCTTTGCCTTTCCCCTTGTTCAGGAATTCGAACCTGTTTCTAAAAAATGGCTGCTGGATCATGTTGGTTTTAAGAGATCTCAAATTTAGAATCAACAGTAAAAAAAGATAATCTGAAACTTGAAAACTTTTCTCAAAAATTTGAGATAGCAATAACATAAAATCTGAAATTTCTATATATAGATAATGATAATATTAAAAATTGTCATTGCCCATGCCTGTGCATGTGTGTTTGTGTGTGCGCACATGTATTCATGTATGCGAGGTGTGTTCATGCATGCATATATAGTGCATGTATGGGTGTGTAATGCATGCATGTGCCTCACGGACATGCATGCAGAAGTGTGAGTGTCAAGAACCTTTGAATTTGAAGAAAATATATTCGGAGATATCTTATTCTACTCACTTTATATTCACCAGATTTATCAGAATCCATGTACATCAAACTGACTCACATTGCTGACTATGCTCCTTCGCTGCATCTGCAGATCATGGCCGTCCTTTACAAATTCCATCATGGCAGATGCTCATTGTGCAACAAATTTTCAGCACCAGGTTCATCATGGGCTCATTGTGCAACAAAGGTAATTTCCGGATTATAACATTTTAGCCTATTTTTTAAAGTAGTTGTGGAGGCTGAAGATCAAATCATGTGATAACAATGTTAGTTTCCTTTCGGCTATATTGGATAACGTGTTTGTCAAAATATTCAATGTCTTATTAATGCTGTTTATAAGTAACTGATTCATAGTCTTGTGCCTTCCAACACAAGTTAAAACTTATTTTAGTAGATCTCAAATATAGTATCATACTACTTGAAATAGAAATTTTATACTTTTAACTTAAAACAGGAAGAAAACAATCTCATAGGATTTGATATTTCTATACTAGGTAGGTAGGTAGGTAGGTAGGTGTGTGTGTGTGTGCGCGCATGCGCGCGCGCGCGCGTGTGTGTGCGTGTGTGTGTGGTTTATTTAATGGCTTTAAGATATTTCAAATTTAGGTATCACAGTACTGAAAAGAAGATAATTTGAAATATGAAAAGTTTCCTTAGAGTCAAAAATAGAGCAATAACATATTATTTGAAAATTTTATGTATAGCTAATCATAATATTAAGAAGATAATGTGATCTTCCTGGCTGACTCTAGGAAATATACCCTATCTCTTGTTTTCCCATGATTTCATGTTGGAATCCAATGATTCATCATTAGTTGTCGCCTTCTAACATGGAAATTTGTGGATTTCACGGAGTATCACAAGAGATATTCTATGTTGAAAGTAAGCAAAGAGGTCTCGGCTTTGAATCATATAGGTTGCAATCTTCAATCAGGAGGATACTTGATAAAGTGAGATCATGAGCTTCTGCTTGTTGTCTGTGACTATGAGGAGTCCAGCAATATCCGAGATTTTTAACTTGGAGAGCTACTAATTGAGCTGTTTGTGCCTGCACTGCCTGGAAAGACTTTAGCATCAATTGTCAGTTCTTCTTGTATTGGATTAATATAGACATGTTTATTTCTTCTATTGTGATTCATTCGCCTTCAGTATTGTTTTTTTCTTCCCTTTTAATAATTTAAACCTACTTATCTTGTTAGTACAACCAAATGACTGAAACTGCAAATATGAGGTCTCTCTGTGATATGGAGAACATAAGTTTTTAGCATATTAGAGAAGTTGATGTATCTTTTGCCAATTGAATGTCCTATGAGCTTGAGGAGACTGAGGAGTTTCGTCTTTCTCGATATGTATCCTTGGAATAGATGATATTAGAAATATGGTAGGAATGAACTACACAGAAAAATTCGTCTTACTTGATTATTATAAATTACATTTCACCTGAAGAAAATAAAATAGGCATGTTGATTTCATGGAAATCCTCCGTTCACTTAGGAGTTTACTATCAGTAGTTTTTAATTTTCAGATGTGCGAAGTAATCAGAGTGGATAGTATTGGTTGTGCGTCGAAAGAAAGAAAACTGTCAAGGATCTGAATGTATGTATCATTTGATGGATGTTACATAGGGTAACCTACTGAAAACAAAACAGGCCAAAAGGATTTATATATATTTTTATTTAAAAAAATATTGTCCTGTTAATCCATATAATTTTTTTCTCTTAACATGAAACAAACTTAAGTACTTAAGTTCACTGCTCATGAGCCAACCATAATACTTCAAATTAGCCTCTAAAACATTAGTTGGAAATTACCTGGGACTCTTGACGTTAAAAAAAAAAAATTCTTACTGAGTAGTTTAACTACCCGATTTAGGGATGTTAAAGTGCTCATAAAATAGTTGAAGGGTGATAACTGATTAGCGGCATTGAAGGCATAGATGAGGGGATTATAGGCGACGTTTCTTAATATTAATAACAACTTACAACTCTTTTAGGCAATATGAACACACTTCGAAAAGAATGGGGCGGTTCTCTGGTGCACGTTAGCAGGCGATTTTCCTGCTAACCTGCGCCCCCACCGAGGTTTGAAAAAATGGCAAAAAAGAAAGGAAAAAATAGGAAGAAAACCCTTGAAATTGGCTTAAGATCGTCGAATTCAAACTTTTCTCCATCTGAGGATCATGCTGATGCTGGATTTGATGAAGACGATGAAGGATCCACCTCGGATCTTATGGGATCAACTGGTCCTGAGGGAGAAAAGAAAAAAGTTCTAATGGCAGATCTTCTGATTTCTGATCCACATCCATCGCAGCTAGCTGAATTCAGATCTCATCGGAATCTTGTTGCAAGTGATTCCTCGAAGATTTCTTGGGTTGAGGATATAGCATCCACCGATAATCTTTCACAGCGGCATCAGTTCTTGAATTCAGCATGTAATTCTGCAAGAAATCTTGATTATTCAGTGATTCCTGCAAGAAATCAGGATCGACTTACTCCGCAAGCGATTGTTGGATCTCCGAACTCATCAACTCTGTGATTCTTTGGGGTCTCGATCCGGTACTTGTGGATCTGGTAAGGTTTCTTGGGCTGATGAAGTTGAATTTGGTGCTTCTCGTGACCAGTTAATCTTGAATCCTGCTAGTTCATTAGATGCCAATGCTCAGAGTAATTTGATTTCATTACTGGATGATTCGTCTGTTCCTATAGAGAATAATTTCAAGGATCTAAATGCTGGAAATTTGAGCTTAAAAGCTACTGGGAACTTGGATTCCCCTGATAAGAATGTTGTTAATAATGAAGGAAATCTATTGGAGAAACCTTTGATTATTGATTCTGAAAATGTCAAGAAAAGTTGGGTTAGCCTATTTGCTGATAATAGGAAAATTGGCTGTGGTTTGAACTTAAACTTTGTGAAGCCAGAGAATAATGATTTTGTGCCATTTAGTGAGGAGGAATGGAATGAAGGCAATTCTAATTGGCAATTCTCTTTAATTGGTAAAGTGCTTGGTTTAAATGTCAAATACAAAGCTATGGAAAATTATGTGCACAAAGTCTGGGCTAAATGGACTACCCCAGATTTGTGCTTACTCAAATCTGGACTGTTCTTGTTTAAATTCCAAAGCAAAGAGCAAATGGAGGACATACTTGTGAATGGCCCATGGTTTTTTGGCTCTAGACCTCTCTTGTTGAAAATCTGGTCCAATGATGATGATATTGATAAGATTAATGGAAATGTTTATCCTTTATGGATTCAATTGCCAGGACTAAGGTTAAACCTGTGGAGTTCAAAGGCTATAAGTAAAATTGCAAGCCATGTGGGTAAACCTGTTGCCACTGATAAGCTCACTGCAAGTAAGCAAAGGTTGGCTTATGCTAGGGTTCTGGTTGAAGTCCATATGCCCTCCTCCCTTCCAGACTTTATTCCTATCCATGGACCTAATGATAAAATATATAATCAAAAAGTGATCTATGAGTTAAAACCTAAATGGTGTGATAGTTGCAAAATTGTGGGGCATGATACTAATTTCTGCAAAAAACATCCTAAGATTCAGAAATGGGTGCCTAAGACTGGTGCAGGAAATTCTGACAAGTTTATTCATGTACATAACCAGCAAGAGGATCAGATATGCAAAAGCCCTAGCAAACCTGTGCATGTTGTGCATGTTCAGGCACAAACTGCAAATGTTGCTGGATCTCTACCTAAGTTGTCTGGAGGTGGTGAGAATCTGAAGAGTAATCAGATATGCAAAAGCCCTAGCAAGCCTGTGCATGTTGTGCATGTTCAGGCACAAACTGCAAATGTTGCTGTTGAAGACACTAGTCTGCCTAGGGCATATAAGAGCTTTACTGAATCTATTTCTAAGAATAATGTGTATGTCCAGGAGCTTGAGCTGGAGGGCTTTTCTAGTAGGGATAATGTTCAGGCATTTTCTGCTGGAAAAATAAAAGGCTTGGCTGATAATAGCAAGAATTCACCAGGGAGTAAAACTGTGCATGCCGTGCATGTTCAAGAACATGGATTTGTTGGATCAAATGAAGGCAAAAGTTTGCAGTCCATTAAGTCATGGTCTGGTATGCAAAATACTGGTCTGAAAGTCTTTCCAGGCTTGGGGAACTTTTTTTCTCATCTCAATAATCTAATTGATGATCCCTCTACAATAGATAGGGGGGAACTACAAGATTATGAATTTTTCCTTTTGGAATATTAGAGGGCTAAATAAGTCCTCTAAACAACATTTGGTCAAGATCCATATTCAGCAATATCATTTATCCTTTATGGCTCTCATTGAAACAAAAATCAAAGCATGCAATCTCCCAACTATAGCTAGGAAAATTGCTTGTAATTGGAAATGGTGTTCAAATGTTATCAACTCTACCAAAGCTAGAATTCTGATTTTATGGGATCCAAACACTTTGGACATCCAAGTTGACAGTTACTCTCCTTAACATATTACTTGCCTAGTTAAATCCATAGATGGGAGAATAGACTGTTTTATCTCCTCTATATATGGATATAATCAAATTGAGAATAGGAAAGCTCTTTGGCTTGAATTAAGGCAAATTCAACATATAGTTGGTAATAAGCCTTGGATTCTCAGTGGTGATTTCAATGCTATATCTGATGATGAGGATAAAATTGGTGGAGCTATGGTTACTGAGGCTGAAACACTGGATATCAGGGAATTCATTGATGACTGTCAACTTACTCATTTGAAAACTGAAGGGTGCTTCTTTACTTGGAACAACAAACAAGAGGCAAATTCCAGAGTATGGAGTAGACTTGATAGAACTCTGGTCAAACAACAAACAAGAGGCAAATTCCAGAGTATGGAGTAGACTTGATAGAACTCTGGTCAATGATGCTTGGTTAAATCTATACAACTCTAGTGAACTCTGGTCAATGATGCTTGGTTAAATCTATACAACTCTAGTCATGTTGAATATTTGCTACCCAATTACTCTGATCATTCTCCTGCATTGGTGTCAATATATGATGAATGTGTCCAAGGGAAAAAGCCTTTCAAATTTTTCAATATGTGGAGCAAGCATGATGATTACTTACCCACTGCAAGGGAAAAAGCCTTTCAAATTTTTCAATATGTGGAGCAAGCATGATGATTACTTACCCACTGTGACTTCCATCTGGCAAGCAATATGTGGAGCAAGCATGATGATTACTTACCCACTG